AGGAAGCCTCAGGGACATGCCGGTCACTTCTGGGAGCTGCCTGAGGTAAGCATCGCCTGGCCAGAGCCTGCATCCCACAGCCCCTCCCACAGCCCAAACCCCAGTCCCAGCCCTGAGCCCCCTTCCTCACCCAAACTCCCTCCCAGAGCTCGCACCACTTACCTCCTCCCACACCCCAACCCCATGCCCCAGGCTCAGCCCGGAGCCCCCTCCCGCACTCCGAATCCCTTGGCCCCACCCCCCAGCCCAGAGCCTGCATCCCCTACTGCACCCCAACCTCCTTAGGGATCTGAGGGGAGGGAGGGGCAACACACTAATGTTTTGCCTAGGGTGGCGGACCGTTCTGAGCTGCCTCTGTCTTACTGCTACCACCTTCATGAAATTTCAGTTCAAATCATCGGCTGGTGAAAATTTTAATGTTATTAAAGGTAAGTCATTTCTCCCATTTCTGACTCACTGCATTAAGCATGACAGTGCTAAGACACACCCAGTATAACTTTGCCTAAGCTAATTGAACATAACGTCCGTGAACATATTGGCAATTTTAGGAATGCAAAATGATGAATTTCTGCTATGACTGTACAATTTTCCAGATGCGGTAATTAGGAATTAAAAAGCACTTACCTTGCAGTCCTGACACATTTTGTGATGCTGTCCGTCTGGGGATCAAATTCAACCAGAACCACACAAAAAAGGCCATTAACTTCTTTAAGGTAAGGTTGTTATACTCTATTTACCACCAGCCCAAGAGGTAAAAAGCATGGGAATAAGCAATGAAATCATTCAGCTCCCCATCTACACTTTGCTGATCCATTCATCGGCTCAACCTCAACTGCTTTCCAGTATCCACAGCCCACCTAGCTCCACCCACCACCTGAACTCCCACTGGGCATCCTTGAACTCCAGGCTTTGAGGGTGGATGGGCAAGAGGAAGCAGGAATTTGGTGTGGGCAGGTAGAGTAACTGAGGCAAACTCCTCAGGCCAAGTTTTACCCATTCTTACATCCTTGAAGCCCCAGTGAAATCAATGGGGTTGTGTAACTATTGGACCAAAGACCTCCAGAGCTGAAATATTAGTCTCTAGAGCTGGAGCTAAAGGACTAAATTCCATATGTGAGAGCTGTAGCAGACTGATATCCTCTGTAGCTCAGGCACAGAGAGGGATACATGATACACCCTGAAGAATGGATTACAGGTACTCTGGTGTACCTGAGAAACAAATCTGGCCCCATCTTCAGAGCTAAATCCGGTGATTGAAGTATGTTACACAGGAGGTGCGAGTTGGCCAGAAAACAGGTGGACGGTCCTGATGCTGATCCCACTGAAGACAAATGCCCATTAAGTTCAGTGTGAGGCTGTGTCTACATTTACATAGTCGGATGCCAGCAGGAGAGGGTTGCGAAGGGTGGTAGGCAGAAGTGAATCATACAAAGAACAGAGTACTATTAGGGATAAACACTGCTTTCCTCCTTCTCATAAAGTTCCTGGGTCAGTGTTGGAAGTAAATGACACTTTCGGTTATTTATTACCAGGGATGCATGACTTTCAGTGGGCACAGGACTGGGCTCTATCATAAATGCTGTAAGTGCTAAAGTAGAGTAACTTGTCCCACATTATAATATGAGGGAGATTACAGTGGCTGCAAAGTTACTCCTGCTCCTGCTGGAACCCTCTGTTGATAAATCCACCATCTTTCTCTTGGAGAACAGCTGTGCTACAGGGGGTGTTTTCAGGAGGCCTGGATGCTATTGCCAGCTCTGTCACTGATTTGCAACAGGGCCTTGGGCAAGGCATTTAATCGCTTGCCGCGAATTTCCTGTCTGCTTACTTTAACTGCTTACCTGAATTGGCAGAGATTTGACAGAAGATGCACAGCTGTGCAGGCGACCAGGACTGAAGGGCATCCAATGCACTGAAGCAACAGTTTGTGGAGAGACCTTTAGGTAGCAATGCCTCAGTGCAGAGACATTAATCTGCTCCAGTTTTGCTGCATCAGCTCACCAGCACACAGAGGAAGCAAGCTGATGAACTAAGTATCTCTTCACCAAGGGGCCAGCACATCATGGGCTTTCTATGTAACTGCTGCATTGGTGCACTGGGGAGCTAAGGCAACAGTGCTGTGGAGCCCTTCATTCACAAGTTCTCCCCTAACCCATATCACCCACACAGTTCTGTTCCATCCGCTCTACAAAGCCCCACCAGCTACCCATGCCTCCTCCCCCACCAGTCTCCTCCCCCTCGCCCCAGAGCTGCTGACCTCTATAAGAATGTTCAAACAATGTAAGAAGAAAGGTCAGTCTGTCAGTACATTTCATCTGCATCTCAAACCATATTGCCAAAGAAATTGCTTCTGAGTGCAGCATATTTTCATTCTCTCCCTGGCACGGTTTCCAACAAGGATGGGTCTTGCTGGTCTGATCTTCTTACTCCCTCTGCTGAACTTTTTTGTGAGAGTAGGTTTGAGAGATGATTTTTTTGGAAGCCCAATGGACCTTCTAGGGCCATGCATGGAGGGCATCCTGTCCCCACTGATCTGGGAGAAGGTTCTGGTTCTGTACCACAGTCCCTGCTGCAGGTAAAGCTATGTGAGGAATCCCATTTATAATCCCCTGTTGTCAGTTGCTCATCACTATCTGAAAATCTCACATTTTGGGGTGGAAAGTTTATATACCTGGTCTTGGCCCAGTGATGAATTCTTCTGAGTAACATTCAGTCAGTCATTATAGGTGAAATATATATATGTACACTTTTCCCATTTTAACTAATTTTACTGTTTTAGTTTCTGCTTGCACACAACTCAAAATAGCTAAGCCCTGACACTCCTACTCTGTGTTCCAGCCTGCCCAGTCTGCACCCCATCCCCTTGGCAGCACTGAGTGTCATCCTAAATATAAGATGAGACAGTAAGTGAATAGACCAAATCTCTCTGTGCTTCAGTTCCCTAGATGCAAAATAGGGATAATACCACTTCTGTTTAGCTCAGGGCTTTTGTGAGGATAAATGCATTAAAGATGGGGAGGTGCTTAGTTACTCTGGTACTGGGGGGCCATATAAGTAGCCTTGATAGATTATATATGCTCCTGGGAGCTCAGGGTGCATTATACCTCCCTCCTGCACAATCCTTCTAAAGTTTTTGAGCAATGCACGTCTGCACAACTCCCCATATGAGGCTGAGACTTTGTCCCACAATCCAGCCTTGTTATCTTTAATATAATCTGTACAAATTACAAGAAGGATTAGTTTCAGTGTATTCAATGCATATTTAAAATACTGACTATACTTTGTACAAGTTTTGAACTATATGAATATATGCTTCTTTCTTTCAAAAGGTCAGTGGAATTTATGAATTATACTAATAGATGGAACAGACAAGTCAACTGTTTAATACTTCCATAATTTTATTTTGTTTTCCTGCCAAGTCTATCTGTAAATAATCCCACTTAAAGAAATATTGCTGTTAGCACAATGGTATGCCAGACACCTGTGCTCAAAAGCTGTCATTTATTGAATCACAGTTGTCAAAGTTAATTGTTCACTGTTGCCTTGAAATGTGTATTTCCTGATGAGAACAAAACCACCGGTTTGCTTGACAGGTTTTATTGTATAATCAGTGATAACCATCATAAATCCTCCTCAGCTATCGTGAATAAGTGCTAATTATATAATCCGATTGTCCATGTGCCATCAAGGCTGGCTCACTGCAACTCACTTCATTCTGAGCAACACAAATGGCTGATCAACTGCAGAATTTGGCAGCAGGAGATTTGTTTGGTGTAGAGAGAGGGGATTTGTGATGTGGCCTCTCTGCTAAATACTCAGGTGGGTATAAGTATAGTTTAATATTTTGAGAGGTCATGAGGTGTTTTTTTTCCCCCCCAGATCATTTAGCACTGGGACGAGATACTAGACACACAGTCCTGAAGAATGGAATCCTCTATCTATCTACAGACGAGCAAGCTTCCCCACACTCTTCTATCACTATGCAGCCACCATGTTATAGAACAGTGGTTCTCAAACGTTTGTATTGGTGACCCCTTTCACACAGCAAGCCTCTCATGCAACCTCCCCCTGTAAATTTGTAAATTAAAAACACATTTTTTATATATTTAACACAATTATAAATACTGAAAGCAAAGTTTGGGGGGTGGAGGCTGACAGCTCATGACCCCCACATAATAACCTCATGACCCTCTGAGGGGTCATGACTCCCAGTTTAAGAACCTCTGTTCTAGAAGAACCATCTGTAGGGTTGAGAGGCTAATTCACTCTTCATGGCCCAGTCAGTCCCTGACTTCTCCACTGACATTCAGGAAGGATGCCATATATTGAAACTACTTCTAAGCATTACAGGTTTATTGGGTTAAAAACTCAACAATGAAATAATGGTCTGAAAAATCTTTCACAATCTATTACTGCTACTTTTTGGGAAGTTTTCCCCAATGGAATAGTGTATTCTAGATACACAAATGTTTCAAAAACCAAAAATGTGCTGCAATACATAATGTAAATGTTACAGTAGAATAGTACAGTGGAGATGTAAGTCTGAGGGCTATATTTCACTTAAAAGGGGCAGCCATTGGGAAGGATGGCATGGTACAGAAATGCACCAATCCCATAGGAATTCTTGGACAGTATATGCCCTAGACTCTTAATATGTAGCAGTGTGTAGGCAAAACTAAAGACTGAGAGAAAACAATAAAAATCATTTGTTGAAAAAGAAAAACAATTCTTGGTTCTGCTGATTTTCTTCCTCTTCCTTATTCTCATAATGCAAATATGTTTTCATAGAGAAACACTTCTGAAATTATTCCACTTTTCCGACTATTCTAATCCACATGGAAATCTCTTAATAGATGACTCATTTTAAGTATCCAGTCCATGATTAACCAATGTGTGTAATAGAATTAGGAACATTAACCATCAGCGATTTTATTGTACATTACCATTTTACATTCAACATTTTGTATTATGACAAAATATGTTCAAAAGCCAATATTAAACTCTCCAACCCTCTTGTCAGAAATAACAGAATTAAAGTTATTGATATATGTCTGAGTTAATCACAGTAACCACATATCAGAGTGCAATTAGAAAATTAAAATTCTGCTTAATGTAAACATTCCCAGTCACAGACCTGGCTAGGAATTACCAATCTGCACCATGAACACCGCCCTCCCCTCCCCCTCCCCCCCGTGCCTAAATGAGTGACAAATTGCTGGCTATACTAGTATTATACCACCTGGGGGTTTCCATATTTCAGGAAAGCCCCAGCTCTCTTCCTTTGTGTCATTAGAGTAGCACAAAATGAAGAGAGTCAAGGCCAGACTCTGGCCCTAAGTCTTCAGTTTCATCTGAATCTGAGTATCATGACAGCAAAAAAGAAATATAAGAAAACTATTACAGTTTATGTGTATGTGTGCTTGGAAATTGTATGCTACAAAGATGTCACCATCAACTTCAGAAGCTAAGCAGAGACTACTTATTTTGGGATCTTCCTGTCTGTCTCTATCTCAGTGGTGTCCAAGTCCATGGAGGCCACTTTGTAGACTGTGAGGGTGACTGCTAAGAAGAAAATGTTATATTTGATTCTGAACTGAAAATGTGTTCCCAGAGCTGTGCCCAGTGATTTTTAAATGGAAGAGCTGGAATGGGCCCTGTTGCTCTCTCCTCCCCAGCTGTCTCCCACCTCCTCTCTTGCAGCCTCAGGTGTAGGTCTGGTGTGAGCTGGAAGTGTTCTGAGAGTTGCTTTCTCTTAGCAGCAGCTGCTCAGCAGCTTCCCTGTTGGCCACCTATTGCAATGCTGGGTAGGGAGGTGAGAGTAGTTTTGCCTTTTCTGTTGCAGGCTTCCCTTCCAGGCTCTGGGCGCTCCAGAGAGAAGAGGAGAGAACCTCAACTGGCTGTGCCAGACTTAAGGGAGTGCCTAGCAATGGAAGACTGCCCTCCCTCACACAACTAGACAGGGCAACCTGAGAGAGAGGAAAAGAGAAGCTGACAACTGTAACTGATTAGGTCTCTTCCTGCCCTGGTACGGTTCAGAGTAGCTTGTGGGCTGCTGTAACTTGTACCATTTGGCAACAGTCTTCTAAGAAACACATTCCCACTGAGGACAGCCAAAGCACAGCTGTTCCAGCCACTTCCCCTTCCCTCCTCCCACACTCCCCTGTGTGCCGGAAGGAAGGGAAGAAATGGCTATGGCTCTTCCCAATGTATTCCCTACCCCAGGGAATCCCCAACAGGGGCTTCTGTTCCCTTTGCACCACCTGTGCTGTGTAAAGAGAGGGAGCAGGGCTGAGAATCTGACCCAAACCACTTATTGTGGTCCTTTTGACCTTTCTGAAATAATATGTTTGGCCCTCAGGCTGAAGAGGTTGGAAGTGTGTGTGTGTGTGTGTGTGTACAGTAACCGCACCTAAAATATCATCTCCTTTCATTCATCTATGAGTGTTGCAGCCACAGCAAGGTTTTCTGGTAACATACAGTGTTTGTATACACATTTATACTATATAGTATTCTATACACATATTCTTGTTCAGTATCATACACAGTTAAGCAAGTGGAGTATTGTGTGTTTCACTGTACACTATTGGTGCAAAGTCTGCAGTCTGCATGGTCAGGATCATTCGCACACTGAAGCAGCTGAACTGGCCTGTGATAAGACAAAAAAGAAATCCAAACATTAGTAGCTGTTTTGGATGTATGGTGTCATAACTCTATTGATCGTTAAAAACAGTTATCAAGTGCCACATGGAAGTCAAAGTACAGGTTACATAGTTCTGAGTCCATGAGATCTCCTTTCTTAAGGTGATAGAAATTACTGCATAGACACAGCTGGGATGTTTTCTTCTTACTGCAGTCTTAAATCATTGATGCTTTTTCAGTAACACATCTGAATACATTTCATACATACTTAGACTTGTGGGTTTGAAATTTCTTCATTGAACCAATTTTTTGAGTTATTAACAGAACATCATGTTGACTGGCTGACAAAAATAAGAAGCATGCATCCATACTATACTTGCTATAAGTTATGAAACACCAAATGTGCAGCTAATGTAAATTGGCTTGAGTGGAGCAATGCTGATTGCCAGCAGCTGAAGATCTGGCCTGACGAGTTTTACTGTACACTGAAAATACTACTTCTTGCCCACATTTCACCTAATGTTGGTTTGGGCAGTAGGTTATTATTGATTGATTGAGCTCTGACAGAAGTGCTAAATCATTATTGTCTTTCACCTTGGGGTGCCACTTCTGAAACCCACCAGTGAGTGTGCTACAGGTCCTCCTCTCTGCAAAGGATATGAGTTGTTACAGTCCCCAACTACAGATCCTTGTTCCATTAGCTGCAGACATTGTGAATTCAATCCCCAGTGTTGGCCAGGGTTACATTTACATGAGAACAAAGTGGATGCAAAATACTAAGACTCTCATTTGGCAGAATTTTACATCACACTAGTATAAATGACTCCACAAGGTGCAGGGTGCTCATGAATCAGGCCCAGTAATGCATATTACAAAGAGGAAGAAATGGCTTTGTCTTCCAGAAGGTTAAAATATTACTGCCAGATGGTGCATTTTATCCAGTCATCCTCCTTTGCAGGCCAACTTTTCACTCAGTTAAAGATGACTAAAATTTAAATTATAAAACTCCCAATGGTTTATTGAAATGATTGTTTACTCAGGAAATATTCTTATCAACATACAAGTTCTGCTCTAAGGAAAGCCGTTCTCAATAAATAAGAATTATTCTTGTTCCTAGTTAACAACTTCACTGCCAGGACAGCAGTGTCACTACCAAAACTTATTTCCTCCATTTTCTGGATCACCATGAGCCCTGAAAATGGATACCAGATTACTTCCATAGTCTTTATCATGGCAACTGGAAGCAATGGCCTACAAATGGCATTCCTTGCCAGTAGCCAGCTTGATGCATGTCTGACTTTTGCAAGAATTGCTTTTAATTCTTCCTCAAGCTAATAATAGGCATGGGTGGTCTTAGGAGAGGATCAGTACAGGTAGAAAAAACTGTAGGACCCCTGATGCATTCCCACCCTAATATGCACACACTGCAAACATGCTGTTGTGTCTGTGAAGTGAAGTGATCAGGTGGCTCCTGGAAATTCTCCCACCACCACTCCATAATTCCATGTAGTTGGTTGCAAGCAGCTGGAGCTTTGAGTGGTGCCAATGGATCCCCGCCCCCAGCATGCAGCCTTCTCCTGAGTAAGGGAACAGAGAGGGCAATCATAATAATTAATAATACTTAGAACTTCCGACTATTGTGTCTCAAGCAAACCCTCACCAAATAGATGGGCTATACAGCAGGCTCAGAAGGTCAACCAGCAATGAAGGAAGCAAATTCCAGAGTCAGAGGCTAACCACTGAAAATGCAATGCCCCCAGCAGATCAAATCTAGGCATTATGACAAGTGGGAGCACATCTCTTGTTCTCGACTGCCAAGGCAGAGCATTAGGAGAGGGATTGACTTTAGTAGCGAGGACTGAACCACAGAGGACTTGAAAAATGAAATTTGCCTGGAAGTGGATAGGAAACTAGGGCAGTCTTTGGAGCAGAGGTGTAATACGAGTACTATTATGACCTCAAACTTATGCCACTAATGTCATTTTCACAATGGCCATCAATACATTAGCATAATAAAACATGCTCTAGTTCCTTCAAAAAATATTCTGATTAGGAGGGAAACAGCCTCATTTTATACAAGTAGACTCCAACTCAAACCCAAAGCAAATAATTACCTATAATTGTCCTCACAGGAGACATGCAAGTTTCGTTCCTCTAAGATGCTTTTTAACCTTGTTATGGAGCGACCCGTGCAGGACTCACTGAAAAGAAAAACCTCAGGATGTTACGTGTGTTCTGCATGCGTGTGAAGCTCACAATTGGCAGACACCGGTGGATTTTACACTATGCTGCCTCATGCTGTCTGACCACACAAATTGTTAAATGTACCTAAAGGGCAAAGACACAATTTTAGACCTCACTCCTGCCAGCTAATCCATGCCGGGGAGCCGAGCCCCAGTGCCTCTGTGAAGTCCAGTGGCTTCAATGGAGCTCCGGGTGTTGGGATCTGACCACATAGATCAGAGCCTGACAGAGTAGAATTCTAGGGTGACCATCACTCTCTCCTGCAAAAAGTCATTGTATGGGGAGCTAACTGGGTTGTGAGAAATAATTCAGTCCTTTACACTCCGGCAGGGCATGGGGGCTGCAGAACTTGCCCATCCACAGCTGCTATTCTAGACCATGTGCCCTACAGCCTCAGTGGGCCTGATCTAAGGCTCACTGAAGTCAATGGAAAGCAATATGATCAGGTCCTGTGCGTGTACAGGGGAGAAGAGGGACTGGCCACATATTCATGGATGTAGGTCCCTACCCCAGACCCCGCTCCTGTAGTTGGCCATTCCACTTGCAGCTCCCTCTGTGCATCCCTCCCAAAGAGTTTAAGTCATGTGGAGGGCCCTGTGCTGCTTCTCCTCATCAAGGTAAATTTCTCTGCCTGAATAAATTCAATTGCTAATTGTTAAATGCTCTCCAATACCAGGACTGGTGCTAATTTCCAGTGTGAGATGTTCAGAGCCCACTAGTGCATACAACACAAGGCCAAACTGAAACAAAAACAAAACAGATGTCTGGGTTGGTCCACAAAATACACAAGTGCAGCTACAAGTGAACATTTTTTCCCATCACAAACCATGTAATCAGCACGTGTCTGCACACCTGTCAATATATGTTTAGCAGGCAGTTTGCACCTGTTTGCACCTGTATGTGTATATTTTGCAGGCATACCGTAGATGTCAGTTTCATGAAATTTGGTACATAAGGAATTCAGAATTCATAGATTTTTAAGACCAGCGAGGACTGTTTTGAACATCTAGCCTGGCCTCTTATATAGCACAGGCCACAGAATTTCATTTTGCAATCCCTGCATCAAGTCCATGATCTCAGGGTGTTTCCCATTTGTTAAAACTGGAAAAAACAGAGAAACCTGGTTTCCTTTTGTGAGTCCTATGTACCGTTTGGGAGTTGTCTAGTCCAGACATGGGCAAACTATGGCCCATGGGCCACATTCGGCCCGCGGGACCATCCTGCCAGGCCCCTGAGCTCCCGGCCGGGGAGCCTAGTCCCTGGCCCCTCCCCCACTGTCCCTCCTCCCCCGCAGCCACGTGGGCCAAGCGCTGGCCCGCTGCTCCCGCTGGGCAATGTGGGGAATGCAACTGGCTCTGGCCGGGTGTCGCGGCTGCAAGCTCCTGCTGCTGGTAAGGCGGTGGGAAGCGGGGGGTTGGGTAAGGGAGCAGGGGGTGGTTGATGGGGTGGAGGTTCTGGGGGGTGGTCAGGAGATGGAGAACAGGGAGGGTTGGGAGTGGGAGTCCTGGGATGTGGATAGGGGTTGGGAGGGCAGTCAGAGGACAGGGAGCAGGGGTGGTAGGATAAGGGGGGTGGGATCTTGGGGGGAAGTTAGGGGTGGGGTGTCCTGGGAGGGGGTGGTCAGGGGACAAGGAGCAGAGGGCAGTTGGATAGGGGGTGGGAGTCCCCGGGGGTTTGTTAGGGGGCAGGGGTGTGGATAGGGGTCAGGGCAGTCAGGAGACAGGGAGCAGGGGGGTTGGATGGGTTAGGAGTTCTGAGGGGGGCAGTCAGGGGGCAAATGGGGGGGGGGACAGAAATGCATGTGGCACAGAGCTCCTGCATGGGAGGCGATGCAAACTATAATAAAAAACTATCAATCCCAATGACCCAGCGAGGTAACAGGTCATGGGGGCAAATGCAGGACTGCCCCACAAAACACAGGCCAGCTGACAAACAGAATACAATCCTCTTCCTTCACAAGAGTTTCCTAAAGCTGTGGGCTGACACAACATGTGATGTGAATCCAATCAACATTCAGAGCTGACATGCCAGAGGTGTTAATTGGAGAGTGAAGGGGAAACTGCTGTGAGTCTGATGGAGGGGCCTCAGCATAGGAGGAAAGTGTGGGGCCTGAGGGACTGTGCAGGCTCCAGAGCATGAGGTAAGAGCTGCTCTGTCTCTGCTGAGGATGGAAATGAGGGTCATTCTGCTTCTGGGATATCTCTGGAGAAGGGAGCAAGAGCCATGCTAGTGGCACCAGGTAAGTGTGGACAGTGAGCAGTACGATGTGGGGTGGGAGGGGCATTCAGGGAGGCTGTGTGTCTCTGTCAAAGTGGTCATCAAGCTGTTAACTGGGTGACTCCATCCCCATGCTCGATCCCCCTCCTTTACTTTCTGTTTAGTCAGTGGGGAAGTCCCCCGCCTTCTCCCCCTGTTGTGATGCTGTTGAGCAAAAACAACAAGTTTTCAGCCTGCAGTCCTGAGGAGACTTCTTTTTGTTCTACCACTGAGTGGTACCTTTACAAAGGCTGGGTGGGTGAAGAGGCAGCAGCACTGGGAGGGGTAAAGGGTGTGTGTAAGGAGCCTGCACCCTGAACCCCTTTCTGCACCCCAGCCTCCTGCTCCAGCCCTAAACCCCCTCCCACACCCAACTCCCTCCCACAGCTTGCACCCCAAACCTCCTCCTGTCCCATGTCCAAGCCCTGAGTCCCCCCCATAGCTTGCACCCTGCTCCTGACCCAGCCCCCTCCAGCACTCTGAACCCCTAGGCCCCAGCCCAGAGCCCACACCCCAACCCTGTGTTCTAGCCTGGTGAAAGTGAGTGAGGGTGGGGGAGAGTGAGCT